CGTGCATGTGTTGTGTGCGTGCATGTGTTGTGTGCGTGCATGTGGCGTATGTGTATGCATGCGTGCGTGTGGTGTGCGCATGCATGTGTGCATGTGTTGTCTGCACACGTGTTGTGTGCATGCGTGTGCATGTGCATGCATTGTGTGTGTGCATGTGTGCGTGCATGTGGTGTGTGCATTCATGTGCACACTTGTGTACATGCATGTGGTGTGTGCGCACATGTGTGCATGCATGCGGTGTGTGCGTGCATATGTGCACATGTTGTCTGTGCGCATGTGTGCGTGCGTGTGCACGTGCATGCATTGTGTGAGTGTGTGCATGCATGTGGTGTGTGCGTGCATATGTGCACATGTCTGTGCGCATGTGTGCATGCATGTGCACATGCATGCATTGTGTGAGTGCATGCATGTGTGCATGCATGCACGTGCACATGCACGTGTTGTGTGCGCGCATGTGTTGTGTGCGTGCATGTGTGCGTGTCTGCATGCATGCGTGCCTGTGGTGTGTGCATGCATGTGTGCATGTGTTGTCTGCATGCATGTGTTGTGTGGCATGCGTGTGCATGTGCATGCATTGTGTGAGTGCGTGCCTGTGTGCATGCCTCTGTGTATGCATTCATGTTATGTGCACGTGCATGTGTTGTGTGCGTGCATGTATGCGTTTGTGTTGTGTGCATGCATGCACGTGCGCTCTCATGTGTTGTGCGCGTGCATGTGTTGTGCACATGCATGTGTGTGTGCGTGTGGTGTGTGCATGCATGTGCACGTGCATGTGTTGTGTGTGTGTGGATGTGTGCATGCCTGTGTTGTGTGCATGCCTGCATGTGTGCACACATGTGTTGTGTGCGTGCACATGTTGTGTGCATGCATTCATGTGTGTGTGTGCTCATGTGTTGTGCATGTGTGCGTGCGTATGTCGTGTGCATGCATGTGTGCGTGTGTGTGGTGTGTGCATGCATGTGTGCATGTGTTCTCTGTGCGCATGTGTTGTGTGCATGTGTGTGCATGCATTGCGTGCGTGTGTGCACGCCTGCACGCCTGTGTTGTGTGCATGCCTGCATGTGTACGTGCACGTTTTGTGTGCATGCACGTGTGCATGTGTTGTGTGCGTTCGTGCAGGTGTGCGTGCATGCATGCGCATGGCCCAATCCCTCGTGCATCCCTCTCCCATTTAGCTTTCAGCCTCACTGGAGGCTGCTCTATAGAGCAACAGCTTTCTCAAAAACAGTGAATTTCATGGAAAGCACCAGCTCAGCTGCCTCCAGGACCCCCGAGAACCCCCCCCAGGAGAAGGTTCGTGGGCAGGAGGGAGCAGCGACCAAGGCAGGCCTGGACGGGTCTGCTGGGAGCCAGGGGCGAATTTCGTTTTTATTGTAGAAATAGGCAGAAAGGAGGAAGAACGACCAGCCGGCCCCTCGTTAGCGGAGCGACGAAGCATGCCGATCGCGTTAGGGTGCTGCTGCATCCTGGCGTGCGGGCGGAGGGCACCGCAGGCGGCCAGGGGCTCACCAGAAATAGGGGAAAATGAGATTATGGGGGAAAAAAACTGCCAGGGTGGGCGGGAAGCTGCAGGAGAGGCTGGGAGGTGGGGATGGAAATGGGGAGGGGTCCCACAACCCCTATATGTGGGGTCCGCGGGGCCGCGGCGGGAGCTGCTGGTGGGACCCAGGAG